CTAGTATGTATATAATATATACCTTCGTTTAATTAGCTTACTCTTATAGACTTGCATAATGTTCACATGTAACCAATGTAGACTCGTTTCTTAGATAATTTATCCATCTTTTTCATATTTGTTAGAACCATTTGGCATTTTCATCTATCTAATCTCCAACTCTTTGGTATATTTGAAATTATCCTCCAAAGCTCCATCAAAGCTAAATTATAGGATATTTACTTTTTAAACATCCAAATAAAAAATTTTTGAGCATTTATACTGTCAAAATAAGGATACGTTTTTATTTTTTATACTTGTAGAATCTATTTTGTATGTAATTGATTGTTATTACATGTAAATCTATTATTATATAAGTGCAAGGCATTTAAACGAATCAAATACGAATCGGATGTGATACTTATCATGCAAGTATTCGCTTACTATTCACGAATACATATAAGAGCATAGATGTCGTGGTAGAAGAAACTAATATCATCCACCAAACTTGAATACGGATATGGACATATATAAGATATGATATATAGAGATACAAACCTATTTGAAGAAAACAACAAGATTAAACTGCATACAGATTGCGTGATACAATATATGTTTAATTATAATAAATTCGTTAAATAATAGTTCATTAATACGTTCAACATATCTGAGAATTTTAGTTTAGATATCTGGAACATCAAAATTATTTCATACTTAAGGTGGTAGTGAAAAATTACTTAAAATATATTATCAAAATTAATTTACAAATATTAAAATTAATATAGATCCAAATATTCACTTTCATATTTATTCTTACTAGTTTCTATGCACGTGCAATGCACGTGGTTAAATATTTAAAAAATATTGTTTTATATTTATTTTATTACTTTAAATAAGTGAGATTTATCTTGAGTTCAAATATGTATAATTGAATTATAAGATTTATTAGTATTTTATTTAAATATTAAAAAAAATTAATGTAAAGGAATTTAAGCTAAACTTGGATGAATATACGTATCTGGGATATTGTAATTGTTATTATGAATTTTAGTTATAGTAATGTAGAAAGTATTTCAAAATTTTAAGTTTATTCAAATATTTTTTGACTTAAAAAGCTAAGATCATTGTTTGATTTACTTTGTCACCAAATGGTTCATCTTGATCCATTATATCCCTTAATGTTCTATCTAATGTTTCAATTGCAACACGTTTAGCCATTGGAGCTTCATCCCAAATTATTAACTTAGCTATCTTTATCAGCTATGAGGTTCTATCTTGCTTGGATATGCTACACATAGATGATTCTGTTGTTGGGATTTTTATCTTAAATCTGGAATGTGTTGTTCGGCCTCCAGGCATTATTATTGCTGCCACGCCTAATGTCGTTGTAGCAAGAGCTATCATCCCTTCTGATCTTACTTTGGCTAGCAAAGCACGGTATACGAATGTCTTCCCAGTTCCTCCTGGCCCATCAATAAAGAAAATCATGCTTTTATTTCCTTGAATTCGTGATAGTACGGAAGTGTATGCATTATATTGTTCTGAATTGAGTGATGATTCAGCATTGAGGTCTTCATCTGGAATTTGTACATTGAGTTCATCTTGAATTTCTCTTGGGTATGAACTTACTTTTGAATGAGGGTTAGTTTGAATATGTGGTAAATTAAATTTCTTGATATCCTTTCTCATGCTCTCTAAGAAGAATTTAATGTTGCAAAGGGTGTCGTTTATAATCTAAACTTTTGTAGCACCAGGTTTCCTTGAAAAGTCTTTAGATAATGAGTCAATGTATCGATCCCATAATTTATTAACATCCGCGGGCTCACAGTGAACCAGTATGGTTGCAAACAGGCGGCGAAGGGTTGCTGGCATTTGAAAGATGACAGCTTCATCTAAGCATTCTCTGATGCTATTATCTGATTCCAATAAACCTAATTTTTGAGCTGAATATTTGAATGATGTGCATTGAATTCCATCCACGGTCAATAGATTCTCAAATGAGGTGGGTCTTCTGATGTGAGTAAGTAAAAGACGTAAGTAATATCTTTCCTCTTCAATTGAATTAGCACCATTTATTCACCTTAATCAAGAGAGTTTAGAATAAATTAGTCAACTATTCTTTCTAAATAATAATTTTGATGGTACTTAGTAAGTAATCAAACAACATGTATTTTTTTAACAATCGTAATAAATTAGATTATATCCAAGAATAAAGAGTAAATAGAATTAAGAAGAGCTTATATTGAAGTTCACTAATAAAATAATTAACTATTAGTAATAGCAAGTGTTACGAAAACTTAATTAAGTGTTATTAAAAGTAGCAAGTGTTATGAAATTTTTCGTAAACAGTGGATGTCGTCTGTTTACGCACCAGGATTTTGTAGACCAGGATACAGGAATGATTTATTTGCTAAACAGTGGATGTCGTCTGTTTACGCACCAGGATTTTGTAGACCAGGATACAGGAATGATTTATTTGCAAATCTAGGGATACTAATAATTTTTCTGCCTTTCACTCTCAAGGCTCAGAGTCAAGAAAGTGTCCTTACCCCTGCCTGGATACTAATAATTTTTCTGCCTTTCACTCTCAAGGCTCAGAGTCAAGAAAGTGTCCTTACCCCTGCCTCCTAGCTTCCACCTCGACCGTCAACTGCCGTCCGTCACCATCGCATCCATCTCAACCGTGACATTCACCCTCAAAACCGAGCTACAGCTACCCGCCTCCGCCGCCTCCGGAAGGAAGCTCCGGCTACTATTAAGTGAGCTTCTTTTTAATGGGATTTAATAAATTTTTTTTTGTTTAATTTCGTCAAATCTGTATGGGTTTTTATTTTTAAGTGGAAAATCTAAGTGGTTTAGTTTATTTGTATCTGATTTATACTGATGAGGCAGGGTATGTTTGAAAGTACGATGATTTAAGGAAAATTTATGTGGATTTTACCCTAAAGTAAGCAGCCAGTTTGCCTTATCTAAGAGTTTCCATGCGTCTTTCAATCGGTCCTCATCCTCTCTCTCTCTCTCTCTCTATCTCTCTCTCTCTCACCTCAGCTTTTAATGGCGAGCATATTATGCTGCTCCGCCTCCATATATTGTTAATCAATGGGATTATAGAATTGTGTTTTCCTTGCTAGCTACTTCTAGATTTTAATTGAACGGAGCAAGAGAGCTTAGTGAAGTAAACTCAGAAATGCGAACACCATATAACAGTAATTTTCAATATCTCCAGGGCACTTTGATGCTAATGATGGAGAAAGGAGGAAGATTATCTGATTAGTCTTTCATGAGTATAAATCTTAGCAGCTTGAAGGTGAAACTCAGTATTACTCAGGCCAAACCTTAGTTTACAAATACACACATAATGAAATGCATATATACATACAAACATAGATTTAATATTTGACAAATACTAAAAAATTATTAAAAATTTTTAAGAGTTCA